AAATAAATTTTTTGCTTATTCTAAAAAAAAGTTAATATAATAAGTAAATTCAAATAGTTTAATTAATCGTTCAGGTACCCGTGATCACCTCTGTATGTATCAAACTATTATGAAGTCAATAACTACAGATCTTAAAATAAATAAAGATTTTTTTATATTATTTAGAATGTTAATTAATTTAAATAAAGAGTAACATATTTACTGATTGGATAAGGAAAATTAAATTGTATCTACTATAATCAAAAACTATGTAATTACTCTGGAGTTTATTCTCAAATGGTGAAGGATAGTAAATCAAGAGAATTTTGTGTATATAGTTTAGCAATTCAATGAATAAAGGTCTAGAAAATTCTTAATAATATGTCTGAATCTGATGTTGATGTAGTATTAATAACAGATTTTATTGAGGAATTAAATCAAAATGATCCTAAGAAACAAAGTTATAAAGTACATTAAGTCATTACTTTATTTAAGAATTCTCTAATATTCTCTTATTATTTTAATAAATTTCTTAATTTAGAATAAAGGAATTAAAGAAGAAGAAAATATATATTCTAAGCTGAAACTTGCTAAATTGGATATTTGATTAGAAGAAACTGAAGAGAGAGAAGGAAATAATACTCATAGTTTTATTAATAAAAGTAGAAAGTGAACATATGAAGAGTTATAATTTAAATGTATTATATATATTAATTTAAGATTATGATATTATGATAAAGTAAAGATATAATATAATTAATATATAGTAAATTTTTTTACTTTTTTTGTGATTACAATTGTAATAATATTTACTAAAAGATGAACAGATCTTTAGTAAATATGCAATCAAACTGTCTGTATATTGCATATCCAACAGATTTTTACAAAAGGTCACAATTGTCAAATGTAATATGAAATAAAATAAATCTGTTTCTCATTCTTGCAACTTCAAAATATCTAGTTTTAAAGGATAAGCAAATGCCATACCTTATTTGCATAGCAATTATGGAATATCTGATGAATAGTATAAGAATGAATATTATCTTAACTATACATAAATTTAAGTAGCATAGGTGATCATATAAAACCAATCATCTGAAATACACAAAAAATATTTGGTAAAATTCTTGCTGAAGAATAGAGGCTATGTATAATGTTTTAAGCTAACCTAAGTCAATTAACTTAATTATCCTAACTGATTGCTGATCAGCTAAATCACAATTTTTAAAAAGAGAATTTTATTTCTTTATATACAAAAATATGGATTAGAAATTACTTTAAGTAAAGTTTTTCAATAAAAAAAAATTCAAATATCTGATATACAGTGGCGATCAAAAGTATTGCATCACCTGAATACAAAATTTAAAATGGAAATATCTTGTAATTTAAAAGGCACA